ATTTTTTTTCAGGCACATTTATCATTATTACATTCATGGAGTCGACGGAAACCACAAAATGGACCAGTCTCAAAAATCAGATGCCAGTCCAAAAATTGATATTCTGGTGAGTTTGGTTGACTATTACTGTAATTGTTTGTTTTGTTTTTTAGGTCATGTATTCTGCACCCAAACACCTTTTTTTTAACCACTGATCACATTTTTCACATTTAATTATTTCATAATGCATTAAATTAAATCACAGGCTTTCTTCAACATTTTTCAACATGTGGGGAGTCACAAGACTCAATTTTGGTACTCTTCGTTTCTCCTAATCTCAACTACCCTTGGTTATGTTTATTGTAACCTCAGAATATCCGTGTTTTAGATATTTCTGTCTCATTCTTCACTGCAGATCCTGTCAAGCTCAGTCAAGTTGTATAAACAACAATCATTAGGTTTTTCCTGAAGTGTTTCATTGGATTTATGTTTAAGCTCTGGCTTAGCCTATAAAGGACTTTGATAGATTGTTAGGTTTAGTTTACAGATTTTGAATATAACAAACATTTTGTGAAATAAAGGTGTCACTCATAATAAAAATTGATCATCCCATCCAGAATTAGTGATTTAAAATATTTTAGATGCCAAAAAACAGTTCAGTAGCCATTTGCACTGCTTCTCAGCTTATGATTTTATTTCAGATGCTTTCTTTAATTGTTTTTGCCAGGTAACTTTGCGGGAGAAACCTCCTAAAGGTTTACGTCAAAAGAATCTGAGAGAAGTGCAGGATGACTTGCAGACTCTGTACATAAACTCAGCTGTAGACACATTTGAGTTCAAGGCCACCACTTCTGACGGCGGCTCCTTGGAGGGAATCCTGAGATATCATCCATTTCTTTACGACAAGGAGACCTACCCCAAAGATCCAAGTGCTCCTCAAGGTATTCAGATCTCATGCAGCTTAGGAAAAGATTTCTCACAACTTGATCTGTGAAGTGGATGTGCTTCTGTGTTTTTAGCATCTGTTGAGGAAGATGATGATGAGAATCAGTCTGGAACCATGAATCAGGCCAGAAGGAAGAGGGACATCTTTGAGTGTTTCTGGAATGGACGACTTATCCCTTACACCACAGTTTCTGAGTAAATACATTTGTATGAATGGGTTGAACATTTACTTTTTGTTTGGGTATATTTCATATGTTTTTCCAAATAATCTGAGACATATGACCAGTTTTTGTGTGTATTTCAATATATAGCCTTATTCTGAATCTCTTTCTACTCCTCTTGATGGTACTGGTTCTATCAGTTAACATTGTTTGTTTTTAACCTTTTAACCTTTCTTTAGACACCAGAATCTATTTTATTCACCTGCATACAAATGCTTATGTCTCACATTTATTGTACTGTTTTGGCATTTATTGTACTGTTTATAATTTATTCTGATAAATTTCTTGGTATGATAAGAATTGAGATTTTTCGTTGTCACAATAAATTCTAATTAATGATGTTTGAAACCCCACAAAAATATCAGTGTTGTCAGGGTTATTTCTGCAGTTTTCTCCACTCAGTAAATATTAATACATTTAAAAAAGTGATAAATTTCTTTCCTTTTTCTTCTTCCTCTGTTACTCTCATCCATCCATTCTGCCATGACTAGAGAATTTTGGATTTTTATATTTAAAATTAAGCCTGAAGGATTATATATACAGTAGAATGTAGAGCATTGAACTGTGCTGGAAAACCTAAAAACACAGTTTTGTGGTCTAGTGTTTAGCATTATAGTTTTAGCCTGATACATAGAAGTCTGCTTAACAATCAAACAGTTTACACTGAAATGCATAGCACTATTTGTAGTAGCCCAGAACACCTGTAGGTTATTGAGGAACCACTTTAGACTATTACTTAATGTTGCTTCTGCAAAGAAAATGTAAAACTTTTTTCTGTCTATGTTCCAGGTTCGATTGGTGTTGTCGCCCTGCTAAAAGTACATTGCCCCTGGAGTGTTTTAGCCGCTTCTCTGGGGTGCTTTTCACCAACGACAAATTCCGGGTCAATGCCAGCAAACAGAAGTTTATGGACTTGGAGCTGAAACTGAGGCACAAGGATACCCTCTTCACCCCGGTTTTTAACGTTCAGGTGATGATTCAGTGTTTTAAGTCAAGTTTACATGTATAGCACATTTTAGCAACAAGGATTTTCAAAGTGCTTTAATGAAAAACAATAAACATTGCACTAGAGTGCAAAATAAGAAAAATAATAAAAACTTCCAATTCAGACAAAAATTAATCTACGTTCACTAGATACTAATCAAAGGTAACTAACATAGCCAACATAGCTCTGTATAAATTGTGCTTCTTTTGTGAATCTACAAAGTGCTTTTACTGGTACAAATATAGTGTAGAAAAAAAAAATAAATGAATTATATATATATATATAGTGAAATGCAAATAGTGCATCTCTTTTCTGGTTTTTACTGTGAATTTTACAGAAAGCCTCAAAAAATAAAAACATCCAGAAAGATTTCATCCAGTGGCTTGAAAAATGTCACAGTCAGTTTGATAAGCAGGTAAAGTTCCTCGGCTATTTGAAGACTGTGACACGAACTGATGTGCCAACTAAGAAGATGCAACATCCCTGGGCGGTGTATTCCGCTATTGAGTTGGATGGCAAAATATACAAAGCAGGGGATCTTGTAAGTGTTTTAATATTATTATTTAGG